TACGTTGGAGAGAAATTTCTGAAACTGTAAAAATCTCAGGATTTTTCAATGGAAATCAGGCCTTTTCTCCGGACTTTTGATTTTTTCATCTGGTAACCCTACCCATAGATAAATAGATAAAGTAGACGTACGCAAATAAAGACAGTAATAGATATTTTTGATAAACAAACAACTTTTGCAGAATACGCATTTTTATCTTAAGATTGTTAGTTTAATGTAGGTAACGAAGAATGAAATATTTTTTATTATATACTAGCGATCCGCCCCGGCTTCGCACGGGTGATTTCTGGATCTCGACAACAGCGCAACCTACTGCGTACAATTGTGAAATTAAATCATCCAGGGATCCACTGAAACTCACAAAAAGTTTCATTAAAATCAGTCGAGCCATTTTGTAGTTTTGGCAAGACTAACGGACAACAAATTATTTTTATATATGGAGATTTAACGTATTGTTATAAAGTACCTTCGCCTCCTATTTTATTGTCAGATTATAATTTGAGGTTACTACAATATCTTCAAGCTGTTTCTAAAGTGATTTCTATAATAATTAATTGTAAAAATAAAAGTACTCCTGCGTTTTCTTAACAAATGACTAATCAATACGTATTATTGATACTAGTAGGTATCCATATTGAATAACTATTGTTTTGATACAGTTTAATTTTATAATTATCAATAACTAGCCCGGTAGGTGGCGCTATGAATTTCACACCGAATTTACTCTGGACGTTTCATCATCATCATTACAGCCCTTCACAAGTCCACTGCTGAACATAGGCCTCCCCCAAAGAATGCCACAAAGCACGGTCCTGAGCCACCTGCATCCAACGACTTCCTGCATGTCTTACCAGGTCGTCACTCCATCTCGTGGGGGGACGCCCTACACTTCGCCTACCGGTACGAGGCTGCCACTCGAGAACCTTTCTTCCCCATCGGTTGTCGGTTCTTCGAGCTATATGGCCGGCCCACTGCCACTTCAGCTTACTAATTCGTTGGGCTATGTCGGTTATTCTGGTTTTACTGCGGATATCCTCATTCCTAAGTTTATCACGCAGAGAAACTCCGAGCATAGCCCTCTCCATAGCTCGCTGAGCGACCTTGAGCTTCCTCATACGGCCAGCAGTGAAGGACCACGTCTCAGTTCCGTAAGTCATCACTGGCAACACGCACTGGTTGTACAATTTCGTTTTAAGGTTTTGAGGTATGTCTGACGAGAAGATGTGTCGTAGCTTCCCGAACGCTGCCCAGCCGAGTTGAATCCGTCGATTGACCTCTCGGTCGAAGTTGGACTTACCTAGTCGGACTATTTGTCCCAGGTAAACATACTCGTCAACAACTTCGAGCTTAGTGCTCCCAACAACTACCGGCATAGGTGTGACATGGACATTAAACATAATCTTTGTTTTGTCCATGTTCATCTTAAGACCTATCCGTTGGGAAACACTATTGAGGTCATTGAGCATAGTGCTTAGGCCCTCCAGCGATTCTGCCATAAGGACTATATCGTCGGCAAATCGAAGGTGAGTGATGTACTCGCCATTGATGTTGATACCGTATCCTTTCCAGTCCAGAAGCTTGAAAACGTCTTCCAATGCAGCGGTGAAGAGTTTCGGGGATATGACGTCACCCTGTCTTACACCTCTCTGCAATTGGATAGGTTTCGTACTCTGGTTCTGTACTCGGATAGCCATCGTAGCCCTACTGTACAAGCACTTCAACACTTCGATATACCGACAGTCAACTTGGCACCGCTGAAGGGACTGCAGCACCGCCCAAATTTCGACGGAATCAAAGGCTTTCTCATAGTCCACATACGCCAGACATAGTGGCAAATTGTACTCTTCGGACTTCTGTACAACTTGCCGAAGGGTATGTATGTGGTCTATGGTGCTAAAGCCCTTTCGGAAACCGGCTTGTTCGGGAGGCTGGAAGTCGTCAAGTCTGCGCGCGAGACGATTCGTAATGACTCTCGAAAACAGCACGTAGACGCGGCTCAGAAGGGAAATCGGTCTGTAGTTCTTCAAGAGAGCGTTGTCACCTTTCTTGAAGAACAAGACCACCGCACTTCTGCTCCACGCCTCCGGTGTAATGCCACCATGGAGGACGGAATTAAAGAGCTTCTGAAGGACTTCAAGTACCGGTCTTCCACCCGCTTTCAGAAGCTCCGCTGTTATTCCATCCTCGCCTGGGGCCTTACCGTTTTTAAGGTGCTGGAGAGCCATTCTAATCTCGCTCAGACTGACGTCCGGGATATCTTCGGAATAGTGTCGGATGAGACTCGCTCTTGGATCGTTACTCACACTTGCGTGTGGCTCCAACGATGACGTGTACAGCTGCCCATAGAACCTCTCAATCTCACTCAAAATCTCAGGTGTCCCGGAAACGATGTTGCCACATTCTGTCTTCAGCTTTGACAGTTGGCTCTTTCTGGCAGACAGATCTCTGGCAAAGACTTTGGAGCCTTGGTTCCGCTCGATCGCTTCTTCAATACGAGCTGTATTGAAGTTGCGTAAGTCCCGCCGCATGCATTTTGAGATCTGTCTGTTCAGATGCCTGTATGCTGTCAAGTCTGTTGAAGAATGTAGCTTCATCTCCCGTCTAACAGCCATGAGATTAAGAGTGTGATCGGAGAGTTTTTGTGTTCTTCTGCGGCGGGTCTTGCAGAACTTAGCTCCGACCGCATGGACAGTTTCCACGAGCTTGTCATTCATATCGTCCACTTCATTGCAGTCTTCTAGGCACTGAAAACGGTTTTGTAACTCGAGCTGAAAGGTTTCGGGACTTTGGATTAGAGCACGAGGGGGACGGAGCGTTGACTTCATTAGACGAGACCTCTCCAACTTAACGTTTAGGTTCAGTGTGCCTCTAACCATTCGGTGATCGCTACCAGTTTTCACCCTTGCGATCACGGAGACATCACTGAACAGTTGTCGTCTGGTCGTCATAATGAAGTCAATCTCATTTTTTGTCGAACCGTCGGGGCTCGACCAGGTCCACTTCCTGTGGGGCCGCTTCTGGAAGAAAGAGTTCATCATAAAGAGTCCCTCTTTCTCCATGAAGTCGGCCAGCTGCTGGCCCCTTGGGTTCCGTTGCCCTATTCCAAATTTCCCTACTTTCAGCTCACCGTTCTCTCTTGTGCCTAGTTTTGCATTGAAGTCTCCCATTAACACCGTATATTGGGTTTTGGAGGAATGCATGGCTCTAGAGATATCCTCATACATTTCCTCCACCTCCTGATCGGGGTGTGCCGAGGTTGGTGCGTAAACCTGTATGACCTTCAGCGAATACCGTTTGGTGATTCTGAGTATAAGGTACGCAACCCTCGTCGACACACTCCCGATCTTTACAACGTTGTTAACGAGAGACTTGTGGACGATAAATCCGACACCTCCTTGGGACAGATGGTCGCCCTCCCGGTGATAGAGCAAGTTGCCGGATTCGAGGATTACCGTGTCCTCCCCCTCTCTTCGGACTTCGGATAATCCTATAATATGCCAGCGCAACTTGTCTATCTCTTCTTCCAGCTCCACGATCTTCTCGTCAGTCCTCAGGGTGCGTGCGTTGTACGTTGCCAGGTCGAGTCGTAACGTTTGTAACCTGTTGTAACTCTGGACGTTTGTAAACATAAAATTTTAGCACGTATAAACGTACCATTGCTCGGAACAGGTCTCCTTATTTTTTGAGAGGATGATAATTCGGTGATCGTAAGCTCAAATTTGCTTGAAAACACTAAGCGGGGGAGTGTTTATTCCCGTGGTTTTTGTACATAATAAAATTCGTAACGAGAATATTCACAATAGAATTAGAAACAAAGTAGCCAACGTAGCTCAACAGATTATAGAAACAAAGTAACCAACATACCTCAACGGATCAGTACGGTGCAATAGCTGTACTGTATAACTCGCAGAACCAGCAATCCTTAGAAAAGAAAGACCTTCAAGAAGGAGAGCCTTTTTTTTTATCGTGGGGAAATCCTCATGGATACCTTCTGTTGCGCGGGCAACGGAAAGGTTATGCCGGACTCCTACCGGCCAAAACCCCACGGTGGTCTCTATCAGCGTATATGAGGGGTCCCGGGATCTCCGTTCGGAACACAACCCCTCTCACGCTTTGCTCTATTAAAGCACGTCCCGGGGGCAGCCCTTACTACATACCCCCAGCACTCGCACTGCTATCACGGTACTCGAGACCACTTTCAAGTCACCGTCCTCCTCAGGTGTTACATCACTAGACGCTCGGGGCCCCCGCCCCGAGTGCCCGTAACCCCCGAGGCCTCGTTTCAGGTAGGGGAACACCATCATCAAGGGGAGGGCCCTGACGAACGCCTTGGCGGCGTCGTCTTCGAGTGGGATCTGTTCTCTCCCGATACCGCTCAGCAGCCTCCTTCTGGATCATAACGGATTCACAGAATGTGGCTACGGCCCTCCACGCGGAGTCCCTGCTCAGCATCGCCGACACGACTGCCGGCAGGGAGAGGTTCTGACCGATCCGGCTTACCAGGACCGTCCGCTCCCATTCCCACGCTGGGCAAAGAAGGAGAGCCTACCTATGAGATAAACAAGAAGTTTTCCATGCGGGTAGACCAGGATATTGTTGTACTCTAGCTATCTATCCTTTGTGTTGTGATAATAAACCCTAAAGCAGCTAAATGCTTATTATTAACCTTTCCTAAAACCCGATAATGCTAACGATTTAAAATGATACAAACTGGCAACGAATTTTAGACTTTAGACTTTTGCAACGAAATGAGGGTAGTGAATTGAGAAATACGTGTCTCTTTATACCATAAAATATTAAATTACTGCGGATAAAGGTAATGATGGAGGATTGTATTTTTGCACATATACTTTGTTATTTAAAATGTAATGTGCTCTGTTTCCACTTGATGTCGCTGTGGTCGTAATAGGTTTAAGTCCGTTGTTTATCATGCTTTTGATTGATTTCTGTTAAATAGAATTTATATTAAGTGTGATTGATTGGATTTGTGTTGTTTACAGATCGATGAATCGTCGCTCACCGGTGAATCGGACCATGTCAAGAAGGGTGAATCTTTTGATCCCATGGTGCTATCTGGTACTCACGTTATGGAAGGTGATTAATATGATTATATGTTTATATTTTATTGTAATCTATAATTGAAGATGAACTTGCCATTTAAAAAATCTTCAACCTTTATATCATTTTATCATCAGACCATAGGCTTAGAACTAAGTCATCTCTTACAACAAGACTGTTTACAGTCTAAACATAGCTTTGTCAGAAAATGATTGGAAAATTCGCCGTAATTGTATCTGACGCCAGTAGCGTGAATTCGAACCTGGTAATGGTTCGGAGTTTAATATTTTACTCTCTAATAATATACTTGTGTTAAAATACTATTGTTAAAACTACAATTTAAGTGCAGTGTAGGAAACGTTGGGAATAAACCAACATAACCGAAAAATAAAATATATTTTGAAAGTAAGATAAGTCTACTGACACAAACTTCCATTATTGACAAAGTCGGTTAGAAATTATTCTGTTTCAATCTTTTTTATCGTTGAGGAAAAATTTGCCATAGTCGTCTCGATTAACAGACAAATCGCAGTATCAAATGTCTGAAAAGTTCACGTCGCCACAGCATAATATGTTCGATTACTTCAGGAGTTCCCAAACTTTTAAGGTAATAGAACACACACCAAATCCCTTCTATTTTATGGTTTATTTTACATCAAATGATTACACATCATTAACAGTGCAATTTAAATATTATAATATAATTCTCGCTATCTATTTACGTATCTATATAACAGTAATGGGTTATTCACATCACATATTTTGCAGCAATTCAAAATAAGATTTGTACCAAAATGTGAAATTACTTAACAAGCAAAAATAAATAATTTCGCGGAACCCTGGTGACTTAGGTTCCGCGGAACCCACTTTAGGAATCTCTGCATTACTTTCCTAATAAATGCCCAGCTGTGAAGTTTACGGGATGTGTCGCTACTAGAGCCTTATTTCATCTTTCAGGTTCGGGTAAGATGCTAGTAACAGCTGTGGGGGTGAACTCGCAAGCCGGTATCATCTTCACGCTTCTCGGTGCCGCCGTGGACAAACAAGAGAAAGAGATCAAGCAGATAAAGAAAGGTCAGTGCTAACCCGCTTTGCTCAGCTGCCACAGCACTAGTGATGTCCCCTTTAGTTCCTTCGATACCCTTTCTGTAAACTCCGCACTTGACAACCTTTGTTTCGTGAAAGAGTTATTAGTTTTCATTTTTAAGTTCTTTTTTTAAAATGCATGGGTATGAAGCCTGCTATTTTATTATATTGTTTTCATTAATGGAATGTTTTTACATAAAATTACAGATTATAAGATTATATAAAAAAAGTGTTTACTACCTCTGTCAAAGTGGCAGTGTTCATTTAGACATTTTAAATACGGAACGGGTATCCTAATAGTTGAAACATGCAAATTCTAGTATAGTGATTAAAAGAATTACTTTGCTCATTCAGATGCCATAAACACAAATACTACCGTAAAACAAAGAGTAAAAAACACTTAGACATATCAAGAAAAATACTAATTATGTATTAAACAAAAAATTGTACGTGTAATTGTGTACACACATACGAAGTAAAACTTCTTTAGGACATACCATTCTTGTTTTATTTTATTACTCATGCAGTCCCGTCGGTAAAACGTTACTAGAAAACGTGACTTTTTTTATAATACCGTACTAAATTTCTCCACAATGTCAATAAAGAAGTTTCACATGAAAAAAAATAGTGGTAGTACCTTAAAGTGTTGTAATAAAACTTAATATGCTGATCTTAATGAGCAATGTACAGTCCAATGCTTAGTTGCATATTTGGTGTTACCACATATAAAGAATGGAATTTGTCCCTTACCATTAAGCTGTCGCACTCCTTTTAAGGAACCTGATATAACGGTGAAATTGGTAGAAAACTAACCTTATTCATTTAAGTTAAAATTCATTTCAAAATTGAAATTATTTTGTTGCTTCATCGATTCTACCAGTTTTAACCTTCATAATGAGATTATTTTATTGTACGGCAAGGTTTACGGGTATTAGTGATACATGTTAGACGTTGTTCGTATTGTTTTTGTGTTTGACTAATCGCCTGGAATATGTCTTGTGGATAGCATGGTGTCAGTCATTTCGTTACAGCCATTGGCGTATCTAAGACAGTTCCCCCTCCCCCAACTCTTTTCCTCAATAAGTGTTATCTAAGGTAACTAATTAAAAAATAATACATATGAAGACTACAATGGAGAAATGATTTCAGACACAAAATTTAAATAGTAAAACTTCAAAACTAAACCAAGGGAAAGTAATCATTGTAAACATAAAACGATCATAGTAGCCACTTGGATCGTTTTACGCATTATCTTCAGACTCTGCTCATTTTTACAGATTACACTAACTTTTAACGGATCAATTCTTGGTACTTAGATAGTTTTTAGGGTTGCGTACCCGAAGGGTCACCAACAGAACCCTATTACTAAGCTACCGCTGTCCGTCCGTCTGTCTGTCAGTGGGCTGTAGCTTATGATCCGTAACAGGTAGACAGTTGAAAATTTCACAGAATGTGTATTTCTGTTGCCGCTATAACAACACATAATAAAATAAAATTAAAGGGGGTTCCCTACTAGAAATCTCTGATGGTACGGAACCCTTCATGTGCTAGTCTGACTCGCACTTGGTCGGTTTTTTTTTCTATTCTTGTTTTTGTAGCCTTTTTTTTTTTTTTTTGCGGATGGAAAATCATCAAATGACGCCTTTCGCTCTGGGTGGAGCGGAAGGGAGTGTCAGACTTTTACTGACTAAAAACCATCCGTGTTCCTTCAGTGCCCTTACGTTCCGGAGCCGCGGTATCTCTTTCGAACAGCCCGCAGCCCCGGCAGGCGTCGGCCCTTGCGGGCCCCTTCACGCTGCTGACAGCTCTTTGAGGCGCGCGTGGAACAAAACGCGCCGTCGACACGGCCTGTCGTCGTTAGACGGACGGACGGCGAGCTACCCATTGCTCGCCGTCCACAGGCCCACGCCTACGGTGGCCGGGGGCCACGACGTAGCCCCCGACGCCCGGGGCGTCTCCCGCGGCGGCCGGGAAGGAAAGCTGCTGCTCTCTCCTTCTCCCGCTCCGCCACCTCCTTCGCTAGCATCACTGCTTCGCAGAAGGTGGTGACGGCATCCCATTCCGTCTGGCTCCGGACCATGGCTTCGACCAGGGCCGGACGCGAGAGGTCGCCGCCGCCTATCGCCGCTACGAGGACACGGCGGTGCTCCGCCCAGGCAGGGCACACCTCCACGGTGTGCTCCACCGTGTCCTCCGGTCGATCCTCGCAGTGGGAGCACCCGGGCGTTTCCTCCCGCCCGATTCGGTGCAGGAACCTCCCGAACACACCGTGTCCGGTGAGGACCTGCGTCAGGCGGAAGGTGAGGACGCCGTGGCGTCTCTCAAGCCACTCCTCAAAGAGGGGTCTTATCGCCGCTATAGTGGCGTGCCCAGCACGGGGTTGCGACAGTCGCTCTCTCCATGTCGCCATGAGATCATGCCGGAAGTCTGTCCGCTGCACGACAACTTGCCGTGGCAGCGGGGTTTCCCCCCGGCATAGTGCCTCCGCGCGCCATTCGTGTAGGCGCGCGAGGACTATCGCCTCCAGATCCCATGGTGGCAATCCGGCAAGGAGGCACGCTGCCTCGCGGGAGATCGTGCGGTAGCCGCGAACCATTCTTACGGCAACCACCTTTTGGGGCGCGTTCAGGTGGTGGACGGCAAGCCGCGCCAAACCACGCGCCCACACCGGGGCCCCGTAAAGGGCCATGGACCGCACAATCCCCGCGTAGAGCCTCCGGCAGGAGGCGTTTGGCCCCCCCAGGTTCGGCAGGAGCCGCCTGAAGGCAGCCCCGGTCCGTTCCAGTTTGGGAGCCAAACGTCGGAAGTGCTCAACGAAGTTCCATCGGCCGTCGAGGACGAGTCCTAGGTACTTCAACGTCGACTCGACGCCGATGGATACCCCTCCTACCATCGCTGAGGATCCCGGTGGTGGCCTGTTCCGAGGACCATGGAAGTGCATGGCCTCGGACTTGTGCAGAGCCACCTCAAGACCCAGCTGCCGGATCCTCTCAACGACTATCGCAACCCCGCGTGTCATATTTTCCGCCGCCGCCTCGTACGACCCCCCCTGTGCCAGTACCAGCGTGTCGTCAGCGTAGCAAACTACGCTGACGCCGGTAGGGAGGTCGGCGCGCAGCACCCAGTCGTAACCGATGTTCCACAGGGGCGGCCCCAGAACCGAACCCTGTGGGACACCGCACGACATCTCTCGCCGGTTCCACTCACCGTTGCGACCGGGGTAGATGACGGCCCTATCCGTCAGATAGTCCCCGACTATACGACGGAGATAGGTCGGCACCCGGTGATACCGGAGTGCCTCCCTAATGCAGCTCCAGGGCATGGAGTTGAAGGCGTTGGCGATGTCGAGAGACACCGCCAAAACAACCCCCCCCCCTGGCCACTGCATCCCCCGTCGTGAGGGCTCTCACGCGCATGATGGCGTCCACCGTAGAGCGCCTCTTGCGGAAACCAAACTGGTGTTCCGCAAGATCCGGCCCCGTCCCCGCAAGGTGCTCGGCGAGGCGGTTTGCAATGACTCTTTCAAAGAGCTTGCCCACCTCGTCGAGCAGCACCACGGGCCGGTATGCGGACGGAGAGTCCGCAGGGCGCCCCGGCTTCCGAATGAGGACCAGCTTCCCCGTCTTCCAACGAAGCGGGAATTGGCCTCTCTCCAAGCATGCGCTTAGGAGCCCCTCCAGTCGGGGCCCGAGAGCCTCCGAGGCCAGGACCCAGGCTTTGCCAGGCAAGCCATCGGGTCCTGGGGCGGTATTCCTGGCCTTGAGCCTACGTACCGCCACTCTCAGGTCTACCCCGGTCCCTTCCGGGATGTCGTCGTCGTCGTCCTGGTGGTCCGCTTCCGGCACCGCAGGTGGCGGAGCCATAGGCGGGGGTGGATGTTCCCCTCGCGCAGGAAACAGAGCGCTCACCACGTCCTCCACGAGCTGAGGCCGGAGACTCTGCGTAAGCGGGGGGGCCCAGGTGCGGAGTTTATCCCGCACCATCTTGTAAGGGCGCCCCCACGGATCTCTGTCGAGAGTCTCCAGCATCTCCTCACGGGCCCGATCCCGGGCCCGCATGACAGCCTCCCGGAGGGCGGTCTTCGCCGCTCTGTATCCCTCGTACAGCTCCGCCTCAATGGCTGCCGCATTCGGTGGACGAATGCGGAGCCTGCGATGCCTGGCGTACAGGTGCCGCGCGGCGACACACGCCTCGCGCAGAGACGTCAGCTCACGCGACCACCAATACACCTGGCGCCGGGCGCTTCCTGGCCGGACGCGGGGCATTGCCACGTCACATATCTCGGACATGGCCTCCTGGAACCACCCTGCCTCATCATTGATGTCGGCAGGCCTATCCGGTGATGACACCCAGGCCTGCACGATCGAGGCTTCCAGGAGGAGCTCCCGGTCCAGCTGCTTCAGCGCCCAACGCGGACCACTCGGGGCCTGTTGGACTGGCGCGCTCGAGGGCTGGGTGGAGACGTCAAACCGGATGTACCGGTGGTCGGAGTAGGTCTCCACCCCCTCCATGACTCGCCAGTCAGTGGCACGCGGCGACAGAGCGGGGCTAGCGAACGAAATGTCCACCACCGACTCGCCCCGCATCCGCACACACGTGGGGACAGAACCCCGATTTAGGACGACCAGGCCTGTCTCCAGAGCCCAGTCTTCCACCATCCTACCCCGCACATCTGTACGACGAGAACCCCAAGCCAAGTTCTTGGCATTGAAGTCCCCGAGGACAAGCACGGGGAGGGGATAGCTTCCGACGACGACTGCTCTCAGCTCTGCAAGAGAGTTGTGGAGCTCGGCGAGAGATCGGTTCGGGGAGAAGTACACCCCCACAACGACGAACTCCCCGAACCGTGCTGCTACGCACCCCTGACCCCTCCTGACACCTTCAAGGGTCGGGGTACCGGCGGCGGCCGAAGAAATGATGGCCACTGAGCCGTTAAGGTCCGCCACCCAGTCCTTCCTAGGCCAGACAGAATACGGCTCAGCGACCACAGCGATGTTAATCGACCACTGCGCCATGCTCTGGAGCAACAGATCCTGAGCGCAGGCGCAGTGGTTGATATTCGCCTGGAGGAAGCTTAATGGGGCCGTTATAGGCATTCCATTTCAGCTTCCTCCACGGGGCGCCCCTCTGCAGGCGTCGGTGTCGCGGCGGCGGCGGCGGCGGCGGCGGCGACAGTGACAGCGGCGGCGGCGGCTGTTTTTGTAGCCTAAAGAGAACATGGATTAAAGAATAATTTAATTTAATAAAAGGGGACGTTGATCATTTTTCCCGTGTGGTTTTCATTTGTAAATTAATGTATAACGACTACTCTACCATTCAGAACTACAGTTCAGAAAAGCAATAAAGAAATTAGAGAGTCAAAGTTCTTCCTAAAAAAAGTTCTTCCTAAAAGTTATTTGTTGGTCACGTTGAACGGCTGTCGCTAAACCCCCACCCCAGACCTCCTCCCAGAAACAAATGTTAGCTACGTCAATGGTCAAAGCAGCCGCGTAGTTAACGAATTATGTTAACATTAGTATGTTATAAAATACCTGTCTCCAGGTAAAATAATCTCGTCATTCTAAACTTGGAACAGTTAAAAGTTTGCCATTAAAGCATTTGTTAATGCAACAATTAGTGGAGCGCTCGAGCACCTGTGGCCAAATTAAATATATTAGTATTTATATTTATAATAATAAAAATAAATAATTTACTACTAGTAAATCAGTCAAGTGAATCTTGTTACCAAACGGTAGTAGATTTTTAAAATCGATATTTTGTCAATGTAATGAGGGATAATAATTTTCTGCTCACCAGATGTCGCTAGTTGATACTGAGGTAAAGTTTTTTTGTTACACAATGTCATTTTATTGAAAAGTTAGTTTTTAATACAAGTTTATCAGTTTCTAGAGTATTATATTAATACACAAAACAATCCGTCAGTGGTTTGCTCTTTAATTTTTTGCACATTTTTAACCTCTTTTTTTAATTTTTCTACTTTTATGAATATCTGTGGTGTTTGGTTTATTTATTTTTAATTTTATTAATATAAAATATAACTAATAGAAAGAGACAATAACTTTTACATTTTCCGAACGAATTAACTTCCCCGCTATGAAATCAGTCAAATATTATACCTTACTTTCTAGTGGTGCCGCCCTGGTGGCAGAAAAATTTGTGAATGCCCTCATTCCAATGACTTTATTACATTTCTCGTAGTATATTAGTGGTATTCTAGAAGTATTTGTTTTATATTACAATAATGTCATACCTGCTCGATTGCTGTCGAAAACCCTATAGAGTTAGCGCAACAACCGATCGTCTAGTGTGAATCCATTCAATGACATCCAACTTTTTTTCTCCACCCCTGACCCTGGCCTGCCCTGCCGCACACCCACATCCATGCCGCTGATGAAAAACTAAATAAAAACTATTATAAAAAAACATACACATTTAAACTGCATCGTGTAACTGTCGTTGTCAATGATGCATGATGTATAAACCGAAAACAAACGATACCCGTTGTTATAAATGTGTATGGCTTGTATTACTGGAATGATAAATACACACGGATTACGGAAACATTGGCACAAGAAGCTAAAAAGCAGCAAGGAAAAGGAACCCAACGCAAGAGCCTCACCGGTAAGTAACAAACATCCTTTGCTACACCCCGCTTCTATAGGTCCTACGTACACTCAGGGCCAGATTTATGTATAACGCTTTAACATATCGTATTCCGACGCCGTCGCTTACGATAGAAGCTTTAATGCTTTATTGTGAATAACATATTCTGTCCTTAAGTGTACTAAACTAACCCATTATGATTTGAATTGCATTAAAGTTATTGAATCATGAAATATCATACAATTAGTATAACCTTAGACAGCCAGTGAGTGATGCTTGAACTCAGTCACTTGCAATATTGCTGCCTAATACAATAGTTTGTACTATAGTTAGTAATATTTATATTAATATTTTAGTGTTAAATATGTAAAAACAACTAACTATTTACATCTGGTATTTTAGACATCGCCTTGTTTATTGCATTATTAAATAGTTTTAAAATCATATAATTAAAAAAAAGATAGTTAATATTTATAATAATAAAATTAGTATAATATTGTATTCGCTTAAAATCTTCTCTGCAAATTTTTAAAGTAAAAAAACGTTTCCTCTGCACATTATTGTTATAATTTTTATAAAACTCTTTATTTTTGTCCAAGGGTGTACATATCAGTTCTTGTTTGGTACTTTGTAATTATTGTAATAGAAAGTTTTGTTAATTTATGAGTTCCTATGGGATCAGGAAAATATAGGTAATAGATGACTAGTTTATTACTTTGAGATATTATTAATAACAACAAAATAGCAAAGTTAATTTTTCTATTCTTGTAATATGAGAATAAGAAAACCGCAGTTGTAAATTGAGTTATATCTTATTTTAAAAAGGACATAAAGTTAAATATTTTCTTATTGAAAAGACCCAATATAATATGTTGATAAGAAAATGAAGTAGATATCAAAGGGCATTTTACTGTCACTGTGTATATCCGTAGAATGTGATCGATAGAAGTATTCAGTCCGTAATAGAATCATTAACGTTATGTTTGTACAAGCTTTATCCCAAAACTACTCGTGTCGTACCAAACAAGAACAGATTAGAGAAGAACGGAATATAGCGATAACTTGCGTACAGGCGACGAAGACGTGACCCTGCCAGCTGCTGGGAACAGTCATGGCGCGAACCACCTGCCCGAAGATAACCACGTGGCCGCCCCGACGGAGAAGCCGCACGAGGCCAGCCATAAGAAGGAGAAGTCTGTTCTGCAAGCAAAGCTGACCAAGCTCGCCATACAGGTATCATCATCATCATCATTATCATTTTAGCACTATATTACATTTACATTACTTGCACTAAAAACTAACTATGAATAAGTAGCTACATTACGAAAACTGATATACATATAAGAATATTATTTGATATATGTTTTATTATAGATACTTAAAACGCTATAAAATTGTTTATCAATTTGCCTACTATTCAACATTCTTTCCCATTATTTAGAGAAGGCGTTATTAAAGGTCCAGATTATGATTTGACGTACTTAACACTAAAGTAAAATTTCGATTTAGTACCAGCATTAAATTGTAAGAATTGACTTGCTTGATTCACTTGCTTAGCGATATAAATAAATAAACGTTTTTTTCCTCAAAGAATAAGGGTGACAAATGGGCACACAGTACATTTGATGGCAAGTGGATGCTGTAGCTCATAGCCATTTACATATGAAGTTTATAATTAAAATGCAAATGCGTCGTCGCCTTGTTTCCAGTAAAAAGGATCTCCGGTTCTCCACATAAATTATTCGAAAAACAGCAGCATTAAGGTGCTATTTTACGTTGGTATTCTGTGAGAGCATACTCCATCCGCGGTCAAGCCGCTACAACCATAATATTGCAGCAGCGTGGCTCTACCACGTGTAAGGAAATCTGCGTAATTTGAAGTTGATAATAATTTTTAGGTCATACGAATCCCTTTTCACTGGTAACGTGACATTCCGTGGTGGGATGAGGGATAGTAATGCATCTACTTTTTTATTCTTAACTAGCTATTCCCCGCGGTTTCGCCCGCGTGTAATTTGTTACGATTGGATTTAAAGGGTTTTAATTATTTGCGCAGAACCCTAATTCTTTTTCTAAAATAAAAGTAGCCTAAGTTACTCCTTATAATACCAGCTGTCCCGTCTAAATTGGTCCAGCCATATTGGAGATTAGCCGGAACAAACAGACACACGGACAGAAAGACGAACAGACAAAAAATTTAAAAATTGTGTTTTTCACATAAGTACCGTACTAAATACTTTCATATGCATTTAGTAAAAAACTGTTATTTTGACATTACAAACAGACACTTCAATTTTATTTATTTCTACAGAAGATGAAATGTTTGTATCGTTCATTTACCATCACATTGTCACCATCATTTATATAAAAAATATATAATTTCTGATACATCACTTAAACAACTCGTCACATTTCAGATCGGTTACGCTGGCTCCACAATTGCTGTGCTGACAGTGATCATCCTCGTGGTTCAGTTCTGCGTGAGGACTTTCGTCATCGAAGGGCGGCCGTGGAAGGCCACTTACGTCAACAACCTGGTGAAGCACCTCATTATCGGTGTCACCGTGCTGGTGGTCGCAGTGCCCGAAGGGTTGCCGTTAGCTGTCACTCTGTCGCTTGCTTACTCTGTTAAGGTTAGTATCATGTGATGAGGTTTCATAACAATATTAATCATTTTTCTTTTAGGTCGTTTATATTAAAATTTAAAAAAAATAGACGCTTTAAATCTGCTTATAAAAGAAAATTAATTCGACGGTTTTTTTTAATACATTTGTAACAAATATATTTTCTTGACCTAAAACCCTCAGAAGTTTTATATACCAGATGGCGAAAGAATCAAATAATAACGTTTTCAATTAATATTTAATTTTTAAAGAATATTTTTCGATGCTTTTTTTGATAAATTATTATTTTTGTTTTCTTTGACTTTATTAAAATCTAACGTCAAAGTCAAACTTTACTTGGGTAAATATAGTTGTTACGGCTAGATATTATATATACTTTTTATATTAAAAATAGAATTAAAAATAAACAGGCATTATCTATTTTGTGTCCCATTAGTCCTTTCATATTAGCTTACGGTGTCCTTGCAATGTGATAAGGGATGATGTAATAAACTCCAATTCGGTACCTGAAGAGCCGAGATAAGCTAAACGAGGAAGAAATAGAGCCTTATTTGAGTTTCCACTTAAATCCTAACCGTTACCTATTTGTTTTCCAGAAAATGATGAAAGACAACAACCTGGTGCGTCACTTAGACGCGTGTGAAACGATGGGCAACGCGACTGCCATCTGCTCCGACAAGACGGGTACTCTCACCACCAACCGGATGACGGTAGTCCAGTCCTACATATGCGAGAAGCTTTGCAAGGTCACCCCCAACTTTAGGGATATCCCCGCAGAAGTGGGGGAGACGCTTATAGAAGGAGTGTCGATTAACAGTGCTTTCACTTCTAGGATTATGGTGAGTTGGCCTCTCTGTTAAATTTTACAAAGCGATCCATATTCTCACAAAACAGAATTAAAAAAGCTCTTTATTATTAATTCATATATTTACTAATTTATAGACCAAAAGACTTCTTATTTTTATGCATATTATCTCGACGTTTCGAATTTTTTTTTATAGGATAAGGGTGACAAACGAGCACACAGTCCACCTGATGGTAAGTGGTTGTTGTGGCCCATAGACATCTACAACTATCCTCGTTTACGAATCAAAATGCAGATGCGTTGTCACCCGTGAGGACTAAGATGGAATGCCTCTTTTCCAGTAAAAAGTGTCTCCGGTTCTCTACACTCACCATACGAAACGCAGCAGTGTTAAGCTGCTATTTTACGCTGGTATTCTGTGAGATCGTGGTCCTTCCCCGATCGAGCCGACCCATTCGTGCTACAACTATACTACTAATATAGCTGCAGCATGGCTCTACCACATATAAAAATCTAAAATTGTTTCTTACACCTGCGGCTTGGTGGCATATTTAGTGTGTTTTTCATATGGTATACATGACGCACCATGTAGTGACAGCGTAAGAAAATCCACTACCCCACTGCGGATATCGCGGATGCCAACCCGCCTGCCAAGCATGGCAATTATGGCAAATTTTCCTATGAGGCAATATTTAGATGACGCCTAGCTGTGGTCTTTTAATAGGCTTTAATGAATGAAAAATGCAAGATGCCATCTATTGAAGATCATGAAATCTTTGTCTTTTCCATAGTTAAATTATAGTTTGAAACACCTTTGATGTCAGGCGATGCCACCGCCCGTGTGGGTATTTACTATTTACGCCGTCCTGCGCAAATATACTAGGCGCTGTCACGAAATTGGGAATAAAACAATTTTGGATATTAATATACTCATTATCATTTTAATTACATTATGTATATATTTATAAGTTAAAAACATTTATTAAACAAGATCATTTTTATTACTACGAGAAAAAACACATTTACAATGTTTACAGTTTTCGATTATTAAATTTAATTATGTAGTGTACTTGCATTCGGATTAACAATTTTATTTTTAAAAAAAATATGAGGGGAAACATAACGATGGCCGCCATTTAACTTCAACTTTATTTAGTAACTCATATAACTATAACAGTAATTCACCATTATAGATATTATATTTTTCGAAAACGGCACTTAAAATAAATTCAATAATTATAATTTAGAACACGCTCGCGTCAACCGCATGTATTGTCCAGGAGACTTAGTGCAATGTACTGGCACGAGGTCGCGAGACCTCCGCAGTTGTTCTTCACAAGTATATTCCTTTCTCAACAGTTAGACTCTCTTTAAACTGTGATAGAACTGTATGAAGACCCCGGAAAAATGTTAACTGCGCCCGTGGCCGTTATATAAATTGTTACTGACAAATTTTCCCACATCTTGGCATCCGTAACAAAATAAACCTACAACTATTCTGGTTTTTGAATAAATAACACTTATAAGCTACCCGATTTAATTATAAACAAAATTTTAATTTACTAACAAAACATCGTAAGCTGTAATATAATTTCCTACAATTTCACTAATTTAATTGTTTTTCTACAGCCTTCCCAAGACCCGACCGGTCCGCCCATGCAAGTTGGAAACAAGACCGAATGTGCTCTTTTGGGCTTTGTGCTGAATTTAGGACAGAGCTACGACGCTGTACGTGAGCGACACCCCGAAGAGTCCTTTACGCGGGTATACACGTTCAATTCCGTGCGAAAGAGCATGTCCACCGTCATACCTTACAAAGGCGGCTACAGGCTTTACACTAAAGGCGCTTCCGAGATAGTTTTAAAGAAGTACGTATTTTTATAATATATTAATGTATTCAACTTTTATATAGTTAAAGATATGTCGCAGTGATATTGTAAAATTCGTGATATCATCATCTTCTAGTTTAATTATAATAAAATAGATTTTTGTCAATCGCGATAGGTTCATACAATTCCACGGACTGTTTTATCCCTGCAACGTACACATATGTAGTTTAACTACCTAGGCCAGCAAATGATGTTCTATCACTTTTCGTTAGATGGCGATTTATTATAGATTTATGACGACTATGATTTTCACGCTGAATTCTATGATTGAATGTGTAAATTTAATAGTAATTCGATCACAGTGCCATGATATTTGTACCAGATTTTGTGATGTTGCTGTTTTGGCACTAAACCGACATACTGTAAATATAAGTAATTTTATTCTATAAATGTAAAATTTGTTAATAATTTGACTACGGCGCCATCTATCGGATGATAACATAGCATACAATAACATAGGAACCACCTTCTTAAAGAAAACAACAACATATTGTTTGAATTTGACCTCAAACGGTAAACTTCTTTCAGAAATTTCACAATCACCAACAGACTCACCAACTAATATATATACGATATAAGATAATATATATTTAAATAATGATGTCGATATTTAGTATCAATATTTCCGATCTTTCATTCTCAATTGTATTTTCGGTAGTAATTAATTATTATTTTACTGAATTTTCATTTCAGAACAAAACTGTAAATTAATATATAACTTTTCAGATGTGCATTCATCTACGGACACGAAGGCCGCCTGGAGAAATTCACGCGTGACATGCAAGACAGACTGGTCAAACAGGTCATCGAACCTATGGCCTGCGACGGCCTGAGGACCATATCCGTCGCCTACCGGGACTTTGTGCCGGGCAAAGCTGACATCAACCAGGTAGGTACTACAGAGACCACTATAGTTGGTTATATAAAAAGGTGGCTTAAATGATCCAAATTAGCTTAAATTATGTACCCATTTTACAAATACCATACAACCAGTCTGTTTTTTATCACCATGCTGGTGTGAACTGGCGATTGCAGCTCTCTCTCTTCAGTTAGAATTGTTTACTATATAGAAGTTTTTAGCATAAAAATATAAAATTAGATTGTATCCATATGATATGTATATTATGATTCAAAATTTGCAGCAGTCCAGTTACATAATATGTTCCGTATATCACTTATGTGCCTGATACTACGTTAACGAATAGGCAGTCTAAAATAGAATAGTTAAAATATTTTTTATTCAAAATACCATTTTGAAAAGAACTATTTTAAAGTTAAGAAAACTACACCATTGCTTTAACAAATCCCAAATGCGGGAGACGTTTGAAAGAAGAAAAAAAAAGATAAATTGGAAGAAAGATTGGCGTTTTCCCCCTTCCATAGTACATATTACACTATAGTATAATTATAAATTATAATATTATGTAAAGCTTATTTGTTGTTATTTCTTTTAAAACAGGTGCATATAGACCAAGAACCAAATTGGGATGACGAGGACAACATCGTGAACAATCTTACCTGCCTCTGTGTCGTCGGTATTGAGGATCCTGTCAGGCCCGAGGTAATGTGTCATATAATATAAATATAGTCACATAAATAAACACATTGAAAATTGTACCTTATATTAATTGATACAAGCATCAAAACTAAATGTAATTTTACATGTATAATATGTATTTTGAAGTGCACCTGACGCCTAATAACACTAAGTAATGTATTGCTAAAATCGATGTTAGAAGCAATCATTAATTTGTAGTATTTTATTCAAAAATATATAATAATTGATATAATTAATATTATTAGATATTGCAAAATGAGCTTTATTTTAATTGAAATAAATTACCTTTTTTATTAAAAAATAACAGCGATGCCAACACCACTTCTAATATTCTCGTTAACCACTCATTAGAAGTGGTATTTTTGTTGTTTTCACTTTGAATTATTATATACTAAGTATTAAGATAAAATGGATAATTGCAGGTGCCGGAAGCCATCCGTAAATGTCAAAAGGCGGGCATCACGGTTCGCATGGTGACGGGCGACAATGTGAACACGGCTCGGTCTATCGCGGTCAAGTGCGGTATTCTGAAACCCACCGACGATTTCCTCATCCTGGAAGGCAAGGAGTTCAACACACGAATTCGGGACGCGAACGGAGAGGTTAGCTCGTGCAATTGCATACACGTTATCATTATCTTTTGCTTTAAAAAAAAACAGTCCCGCTGGGTTTCTTGCTGGCTCTTCCAGGACAGAGGTTATTTTCTGAACCAGTGGCTAGCTTAAATTACTTTCCATAAGTATTTTTGTAATTTATATTGAATAAAAAATATTCTATAGTCTGTTCGCTAAGATAGTGATGGTACACCCCGGGGTTTGTTATATAATGTTATAAATGGGTTCGTTTGTTAAATAAATGTTTTTCTATTCTAAGAATAAAATAGAACACTATTTTATTATTATGGTTATTATAATAAAATACGAATATAAATAATAAACACAAGTTAGGTAACAAAGAACCTTTCACTACGGTGCTTCGTTTTAAAATGCCAAATTTTCCTACGGGTTGTACGCTGCGCGCGGCGACCTTTGATGTAGCGGCGGCGCCGTTGTCAAATGCGGCACGTGCCAAGGCGGCGCGACACAGGCGACCGTATCTAAAGCCTCCAGTACACGTTGGCCGAGCGCGCTCGGCGAGCCCGCTCGGCAGATTTTGTGGTGCCGTTCACACGTTGGCGTGCTTCATTCTGCGTTGCTAGCTAGTTGATGATGGACGTTAGTGATCACGGCCTTATTTTTATGTTGCTCATGTTTGCGGTTCCATATAACTGATTCATTGTGATAAGAATCAACGAACCGAACGAACGTTACACAGTGACCTGCAACATTTTACGCTACTTGGTTCCGCTCCGAGAGCGAGCGTACGTGTCCCGCGTCTGTGTCGCGCCATTTGTTGCCGGGTGTGGCCGTGTGTGCAACGTGCCTTGCAACATGTCAGTAGTGTGGGGAAACGAAACCGTGCTTTTACTTCTTGAGCTTCACTAGTTATGATTTGTTATGGCATACTTCAAACCACAAACTTCTGGTGCTATTCTGCCGATCAGTTGTTTCGACACTCGAAAAGTGTATGACAAGGAAGCATAAGAATCTCCAGTCGACAAGTATCCTAATGCAATGGAAAGTCTAATATGAGAGTCAACAGCGTTCTGTAGTATTGTATCCTGTTAGGCTGTGGAAGGTCCGATCTATTGTTATAAAGTTCCAAAATCAGATGTTGACATTCGAGTGAAATTCATAAAACATCCGTCAGACGTTCGAAGATAACTTATAATATCAATTCTTTTTTCTTCTCGTTGTAGTAAGAAATTCTGCATCCACCACCTTCTCTTTCGCTTACGTTTCACTCCCTGAATAAGTACTACGTACGCAGCACTAATCGCCACAACCTTCTCGAGCAATATTTCTATAAGCATTGACTAGTGTGGCCTGCAAAATGTTCCGCAACATATGTCTCGGGACATTCCACGTAGTTGTTGTGCAACATGTTGCGCAACATGCCGCTACTTTTGTCCCCAAGGCTTAAGTCCATATTCAAGGCTTAAGACTAACACGAATGTCTGACAGTCTGTAACTATACCTGCTTACTATATCCTATAGCTGTCGTTCAGAAAGTAAGACAGCAGTGCACGCACCGCTGTTTGACATCAGAAATAAGTCTCACCACTTAGAAAAGTAACAAAATACAATATTTTTGCCAACAGGTACAACAACACCTGCTGGACAAAGTGTGGCCGAAGCTACGCGTGCTCGCGCGTTCGTCGCCCACGGATAAATACACGCTGGTGAAAGGAATGATCGAGTCCAAGGCGTTCGACAAACGGGAAGTTGTCGCGGTCACCGGCGACGGTACTAACGACGGGCCCGCGCTCAAGAAAGCCGACGTTGGATTCGCTATGGTGAGTTTTTAATCGACTTCAAAAAGAAGAAGGTTCTCAATTCGAGTGTATGTTCTTTTTTTTTTTTGCTATATCCTCGCAGATTATAAACCGATTTTATTTATTCTTTTTTATTAATTAGGTTATATTTCAAGGGTGGTTCCCATATAAATTTGGAGAAAAATTTCAGCCTTACGGGTACTTAGCCTTAAGGCAAATAAATAACTTCTTTTTTAGTAATTTGATGTCGGTTTTTACTTTTTAAAACGAAAAGTACATAAGTTTTACTATCATCTGGAGGGCAGAACAAGAGATATATTGAATATTGAAAAAAACTGAGGTCTTTCACCGAGTTTGAGTAATTTTAAATATTTTCTCTAAAACACCAACTTACAATCAACTATTAGATTGGAAGGTCATAGTGAACCTGCCCGAAGTTGCTTTTAGGGATCGTGTTATAGTTCATGTAATCCTTTTCGGTGAATAAAAAAAATACACACAACAAATAAAATAAGATTTAATTAATTGGGAAGTCTTACAATAATATACGTCCAAAGATACCGTCACCGACGACGATGTTGCCAGATTTTAATAAATTGCTGAGTTTTAAGCTAATTATAAGAAAAACATGTATTTTAAAAAACAATAACATTATTAATGTAATTTCATTACGGTACCTATGTCCCCCTATCGATTCGGCTAAGCTACCGCGGATTTTTACACATATTTTTAATAACTTGCTCGTATGCCCTCCACAGGGTATCGCCGGTACGGATGTAGCCAAAGAAGCCTCGGACATCATTTTAACGGACGACAACTTCTCGTCGATCGTGAAGGCGGTGATGTGGGGCCGCAACGTGTACGACTCCATCGCCAAGTTCTTACAGTTCCAGCTCACCGTTAACGTAGTCGCCGTCATCGTGGCCTTTATTGGCGCATGCGCGATACAGGACAGTCCTCTTAAGGTAAATAATTGTCTATTTAGTGTGTATATCTTTTGTTGCTGTTGTTTTTTTATTATAGAAGGGTGACATACGAGCACACAGTCCACCTGGTGGTAAGTAGATGTTGTGGCGTATATAAATCTACATTTATCCTCGATTTAGAACCAAAATACAGATGCGTTGTCATTCTTTGAGTACAAAGATGGAATGCCTCGTATCCATTAAAAAGAGTACCCGGTTCTGTACACTCACCATAAGATACACAGCAACATCAAACTACTATTTCGCGCTGGTATTTTAAGAAAGTGTGGTCCTTCACCGGTCAAGCCGACTCATTCGTGCTACAACCATAATATACCCGCAACGTGATTCTTCCACGTATGCCACTGTGTAGTTTAAGAGTGTCGCAACGTATTTTGAATTCCCAACATTTCGACACACAATGGACACTCCATACGAGTGAAGTAAATTATATGTCCACTACTACTGTATGCCGCAGTGAATAGGACTGCCCTTTACTGTCACCTATAAAGGAGTACCGTAGCGAGAAGCTAATGAACGAAGGTTTCTATGAAAACTAATAATGTAACTTAAATTGAAAATTTTAAAAACCAACGTAACTAAAAGTTCTGGTGATCTTCTAACGGCTGCTCAGATTTTCTTGATAGCTATGAAAAATTTCGTTTAAAACACATTTAAAACGAAAAAAAAAATTATTTAAAATCATCAAAAACCTAGATGCAAACATATAACGTCCCTCTGTTTTCGTCGAGGGTAATAAAAGATGATTTATACAAATTTTAACAAAAGAGTTTACTCTCTTTTTAGTGGTAGCACTCATTTTCTGTAAATATCATCTGAGTAGCTCTTCTGCCGTCAAAAACTAGTACTTGCACCGCTGTGTTCCGGTTTGAGTGGTATGGAGAACCAGTACCAGATTACCTCAGTCTGATAATTGGCATTACATATTAACCCTCAGAGGTGACAACGCATCTGGAGTCTTGTTTCTTTAAAGTTGGTTACAGGTAACTATGGGCTGCACTAGCTACTTACCATTATCTAATGCTAAGTAGCTAGTTATTTGCTCGTTAATCATTTTTATTTAAAAAAAACTACATTCAAACGGTTACCAAGATATATATAAGATACTCAGCATAGATAACTTGCCAAGACACCCTTAAATACCATACCTTAGATAAACGATATTAGATAGGGTGGTTTAATCTCACACTATGATTGAATCGGCCGCTTGCGACCTGCAGGCCGTGCAAATGCTGTGGGTGAACCTGATCATGGACACGCTGGCGTCGCTGGCGCTGGCCACCGAGCTGCCAACGTCCGACCTGCTGTTGCGCAAGCCCTACGGACGCACCAAGCCGCTCATCAGCCGCACCATGATGAAAAACATCCTCGGACAGGCCATCTACCAGCTCTTCATTATATTCTCGCTGCTCTTCGTTGGTTCGTATCGATATTTTATTAGTTGGTTATTCTTTACGCACCTATGTATGTCGGAAGCGCTTACTGATAACCATACACAAACATCTGGTCCTAGTACAAATATAATAATGTCCTCCAGACCGAATTTCGGTCACGGCGGCCAGTCTCAATAGAGATTAGCCATCGGCCCAGGAAAGGATTATAGTGCCCAAGTGTATGCGCAGGCACAGGTGCACTCTCTATTTTCTCAATCTCATAGACCGATGGTACGGTAAACCGACACGACCGGAGAGAGATCAGGCGCAGGACCAACAGCTTTACGTGCTTTTCGAAGCATGGGGCCGAGACGCCGCCAACTTCCTAACTCCAGGCAGCTACTGAGAATTTCTTGATGGAAAAACTCAATAACTAATATTTTTTTTGGTCCCACTCGGAATTCGAACTCGGGACCTCATGATCAGCGGTCGCACTACTACAACCACTAGACCAACGAGGCAATCTTGATGTTGCATATTTGAGTACAAATATATAAACATCAAGACATAGTACAACAATTTAAAAGTCAAACAAATACTTGTTTCGTGGGGGAATTGAACACGCAAACGGTAGCCTCGCAGCATCGGCTAATATGCACAAGACGAAATGCTCCATAAACCTCACAAAATTAGAGGAGCCCTAACCCCAGCAGTAACAGATTAATCATATTTAGGCTGTAACCTTACTTTTTACATTGTATACAATATTAGCTGGCTCGGCAAATGTTATTCTGCCTTTTCCGTTTTTTATCCGTATGTATTTATTGTTTAAATAAACCAACAATATAGATTGTGAATTTTCGGTTCATGGACGTTGTTATTGGTCATTCGGGCCCATAAATATGGAATTTGATAATAAATTGACTACATATCGGGTCCTGTCATAGGCCATAGCTATGAACAAACCTGTCATGTCCCGACAAATGATGTTGTGTAAATATGATCTCAATGAGTCTAGTCCCAAAAGTAGGGTAACAAAATTAGAAAACAGTTATATAAAACTAGTCTATTTAAAAAAATATATATATATACAGCCTATATACGTCCCACTGCTGTATAACAGGTCTTCCCTTATTTTTGAGAAGGTTTCTGGGCAATGAAATGCCCGACTAGCTGCCCCAAAGGATGTTTTCCGAAATATTTTTTAATTTTTTTAAGGTGGCACTCGCATGTGATAATATGCGTGCTACAGTAATTACAATTTGCCGAGACTAACTATAAAAAAAACGTATTTGTTTAATTTCAGGTGACAGATTACTAAACATCCCCTCGGGTCGGGGTCAGCCGTTGGGCTCGGAACCAACTCAGCACTTCACCATTATCTTCAACACTTTCGTAATGATGACACTGTTCAACGAAATCAACGCGCGTAAGATACACGGCCAGAGAAACGTCTTCGAGGGGCTCTTCACCAACCCTATTTTCTATTCGATATGGATCGGTACTGCTTTGTCGCAGGTAAGTGCGAGTATTCAATTCAATTCATAATAAAAAACAGTAAAAGGTAAAAGTTTATCAATTAACTTTAGGAATCTCTGACCTAGAAAACACTAGAAATATATTGTAAGTTACCGTATGGTGTCGGCGTCGGACTAACCATCGATCTGTTTCGTCTCTTATGTTTCTTACGAAGGGAATGCAATAATATCATACATGATTCATATAAATGTTATAAATGTATATCTATACAAATAAATAAAATTGAAGTGTCTGTTTGTAATGTCAAAATAACAGCTTTTAACTAAATGTATATGAAAGTATATTCGGTACTTATAACAAAAACATAATTTTTTTAAATTTTGTCTGTCTGTTTGTTCCGGCTAATCTCCGAAACTGCTGGACCGATTTTGACGAGACTTCCAGTGGTAGATAGCTAATGTTATAAGGAGTAACTTAGACTTTTATTTTAAAAAAGGAATTAGGGATCCGCGCAAAAAAAATTAAAACCCATAAAATCCTATCGTAATAAATTCAACACGGGCGAAGTCGCGGAGAACAGCTAGTAGTATTTATATAAATAAGAACCACTGGTTTCTCGCTGATTATTCCCAGGTTCATCGAGGCAGTAGTAAATAAGAAGATGACTTTCAATATTTAGTTTTCGTTTATTTCGTTTTAGCTAGTGTAAACAACCGTTACTAGATATTGTTAAATTATTCTTATCGCTAATCTTTTCCTAAACTCATTTTCAACTGTCAATAGATCATGACAATTCGGTAATAATTCTGGGAATCTGCAATTTATAATCAACGTAATTTAAAAAGTTTTAATTTATATAGATGAATAAATAGATTGAAGTGACTAAAAGATGCTAAAATAGTTAAGAATATTTGTTTTTAACATTCCAGGTGGTTATAATTCAATTTGGAGGCATGGCGTTTAGTACGGCAGGTCTTTCGATAGACCAGTGGCTTTGGTGTTTGTTCTTCGGCGCGGGAACGCTGGTGTGGGGACAGTTGGTCACCACTGTGCCTACTAAGAAAATACCCAAGAAGCTCTCGTGAGTATACCGTTCGATGCCTGTAGTTTAAGATCAGAAAATATTGCAATATTGATAGATACTAGAAAAAATGATTAACAAAACATAGCATCAATAGTGTGAAACTGATTAAGATCTCATGTGTCATCAAAGGAGTACATAGTGCACCTAATGGTAAGTGGCTCCTGTAGCCCAGAGACATCTACATTTATCCTCCATTAAGAATCAAAATGCAGATGCGTTGCTACCCTGATGAGTTAGATGGAATGTTTCGTTTCTAAGAAAAAAGGATTACGGTACACTACACTCATCATACGAAACACAACTGCATTAAGGTGTTATTTTACGCTACTATTCCGTGAGATCGTATATGAGACTAATAAGTAAGAGGCGTATGTACAGCAGTGGACTTTTGATAGACCGTAACGGAGAGGAACGGAACAGTTTAAACTTGGGGACAATCACCCCACACATAAGCCCAAAATGTAATAATTTGTGGCGTGGTAGCTACTGTAAACATTGGACCGTGATGTCGTTATAAACGTTTGTGGCATTAATTGATTCGTTAGTTGGGGCCGAGGCCAGCCGGACCCGGAGTCCATTCAGGCCGGTGGTCCGGACTACGACTCGGACCTGGACAAGAAGCCGCGCGCCGGCCAGATCCTGTGGATCCGCGGGCTCACGCGCCTGCAGACGCAGGTACGCACGCACACACGCACGCAAGCTCACGCACACGCCCCCACCCGCGCCCCCCGCGCACGGGGCGCCGCACGGACGAATAGGCCAACACCCTGACTGGCTAAATGTTTATTTAAATAAAAACAATCCAATAAATCTCACGCATACAATAGAATACTTAATAATTTACAAATTACTGACATTCCAATATTGAAAGTTATTTTTTTTTTAATCTTACTTCAATGTTACGTGCCAGATGAGTGTTTGTTCTTGAATTGTTACTAATTTATTTCAAAATAAAATTGAAAGTGTTATTAGTGTAGTTTTATGTTTAAAATATAAAGAATTATAGAAGCAATACTAACTATAAAATAAAGGAAAGTAATAATACTCGGCCTATTCGTCCACGGGTGCTAATGTTGGCAGCTGAATTGGGTTTAAATGTTACGCTAAATGGAATTTTGGGGGGATCTATGTGGGATTTTGTTTACGTAAATATAAAAATATCAGCAGTATTTTCATTTTATGGGGCTTGTTTTGTCTAAATTAATTGAATTGATATTTGAAAACTTTCATGGTTAATTTTTATTGTGTCCTCACTGTAAAAAATGTTCTTTTTTGAATTTTCAATACTCTTCACGCTATAAAAATATTTCTTAAAGAACATTTATTTACAGTATTACAATGACAGTATTTTGCCGTTTTTTAGTTAATGTTCAATGTCATCAATATTTTTAAACAATTAAATTGATATTAATATTACATTTGATTATAATTTAATCTAAAAATTTTATATACTATTTGAATTCCCACACAAATAGAAAAAAAAACTGCAAAATATTGTTATTTGTTACTGTCATAGAATAACATCATGATAATATTGCGGCTGTGATTTAAGACTGATATAATTATAATAATAAAAAAAAACATGATGATATTCTTAAGGCACTTATTATAAAATTAGTTACTTAACAAACTTTACTCGAATAGAAAAAATACATTTTAATCTAAAATTGATATCTAATGTAAACTTTGTTTAGTAACAATATGTAATTTAAAATTGATTGTTTAATATGATTGAAATAAAAAGTCATATAGGAGTGGCAGAAATGTTCGTGTTTAATGCGAAAGAGGGATAAGTTTTAAGTTTGCAGCATTATTTAAAACTATAAACAGCAAAGTCAACAGGTCAACACTGCGGATACCTTGGGCATCCTAACGCTAAGTCAACGATATAAGTCCATTTATATATCCGTATATTATATATTTACTTTTGTTCTACTTTTTGCATACAAGCCGAATATAACCACCATTGCATACTATGCATCCATGTATAGATTATATCGTCATAGAATAGTGATTACGCTGAGTCATATTTATTACACATATACTTCAATTAATTGGTACAGTGAGCCGGAAATTTATAATTAAAAATGAACGACACAAAAATTTCGATAGCGAATTCATACCTTTCCGAAAACGACTGTACGTTCATTATTTTTAATTTTATTTGTTTTCTTTCTTTTATTTTCCTTCATTTTCTCTTACGTTTCACAATTATTTTCATTCTCCTGTACTTCTGTTCTGATTCGATATTTATATATTTTTTTCTATACCTACACAGAGAAACACTTAACAGAGTAAATTTTAGTAGATACGCTACATTATTTTGGCCCATTAACGTAGATTACAAATTGTTCGGTCACTAATTATGTATTAAAAATATAAAAATACAATTAATTTTCTAAAATGGCTAAATTAGCGACCGTCCAATGCTACACTAGATTTTGTTTTTTTTTTATTCTAAAAAAAATATTTATTTTCGAACTGGTTCCATGACATCTGTTCCCTTTAACTGAATTCTTTTTTCAGTATCTCTTACCTTATACTGTTTTCAAACTCTCGTGTATAACTGTCTCGCTCGCACACTACTCTAAGCTGTCATGGAACCGGGCTTGATCCCCTTAGTGTTACACTAGTTAGAAGCCTAAAACATCGCGAGTAACGGCCGTGCATGCTCCGCAAGGAACCCAGTCTGACGCTTCCCGATTTATTTACCATGATTTGTTTTTATTTTACCACCAACCTATATCACAACCCCATTGGCATGCGATTAATGTAGGCTGTGACGATGTTACTTATCCCTCATGATTGTACCCTCAAACAGTTACTATGACTATGTCCCTATAGTTTATTTTTATATATAATTTACTCAACATTAACAACATCGCGGTATGAATATGACTATCTCTTTTTCTCCTCTATCTTTTTTTTTACTCTTAGTCATACTGACTGTTTGATTTTTTTTTTTCTATTTTTGTCTGTTTTTTTTTAGTTATTTATTTAAGAATAGTGTTTTTTTTTGCTTGTGATACGCCAACCCAATACATCCTCGTTACTGATCCAAAGCAACCCAAGCTCTTGTTTGAATGAGACGCCGTATGTTCACAAACCCGAGTGCTGGAGGACCGCACGGCGACTAACACGCGTTACCGATATCAAATAACGAAGCAGTAACATGTTCATTTTGATAAATGTACTTTTTTTAATTATTTTTCAATATATTATTTAATTTATACGAATTGTGTTCAGTTACTGCTAAATGGGACCGTTAATTTAATTTGAGTGTGGAGTGGATTTTTCTTGAAATCAAAAAAATACAATTAGAGAAAAAATGTTGATACACATTTTAGTGAGCATGGCGCGTATGCTCGCCGTACTAATACTATAACCGTTCTCGACCGAACGTTTCTCTTTCCTTTGCTGTTGTGTTGTCAGTGTTTGAGTGTTTTTGTTTTGTTTTTAATGTTTTTTTTTTGTTTTTGTCCATGAATGTTGTCCGTTCGAGCCGTACTTTGGGGGGTGTGTTGTCACATGGGTGTAAGCGTCAAACTGAAAGATGGGGGTGTCAATGTTAGTAGTAGCCTTGCCTTGCCAATTTGAAAAAATTGCCTTCATTGTTATTTTGCGTTATAGGCTTGTTGTAGTGTCCATATAATGCATTAATTGTAAATAGAGTAATACTGTGTAGGCGGTGGCGCTATTTTTGGTAAGTATCATGTGTAGAACTAACGTGATACGGTTTTTTTTTTATTTATTAAAAAAACAGTGGTTCTGTGAAGCTTTCTAATCTTACTTCGACGTTACAATTGTGCAAATATTAACTATTTTCTTACCATTTAATATTAATTTATATTGTATTCTATCGATAATTGATGAAGGAAACAAAGTATATTTCACAATTGTAAATCGTCTCACTAAAACGTAGTAGGTAAATGTCTGTTCCTCCTTGGCTCCCGAAATTAGATGTTTAACAAACCATGATAATAACAAGGCATGATAGATTAAGTAATGTCACATGTACTAAAATGACGAGATAAAATGCGAGCCACCACCATAGAGGCATATGGAATTTGATATAGATCAAACATTTAAAATGTGCTGTATAAATAACAAAAAATAAAACCTCCCATCAATAAGCATATAAATACGACGCTAAAGCCATTTAGTGGCACATTAGGTGTTACCTGGTGGAAATTTGGTAGTTAACCCTAATCCTTACAAAGCATTCGTGTGTCATCTCCCTGCGTTGTCTAGGAGTAGTGTAGCCAGCAGTCGATCTTCAGGGTAGCTAAGGCCTCGATTCGACTTCCATTTCAATTTATACCCTGAGTTTTTCTTTTCATTACTTTTATTTTTTGGTTTGATCGTTTCTCATTTGGTTTGGCACCTTCCGAGTCATATTCGTATCACGTGACACCGGCCATAAAATGGCCGCATACATGCCTCAGTATACACCAGACACTGTTCCGTTTTTATTTTTCTTTTTGTGTAACGAAAAAGGTTCCACTCTCTTCGTGTTGGCCTGCTTTCAGTGACAACAGATATGGGGATACGACGTTCCTAAGTAAAATTTGTGGTTGTATTATGTTATATTTTAATAAATCACGCTTTACTCGCCTGGATATGTTTTTTAATTTTTTTCTTTGCTTGCCATAATTTAAAACTGATATTCTGTTTACAAAAAAAAAACTTATTTTAAATAGCCTTAATGGTAATAAAAATAAAGTAATACAATATAAAATAAACTAATAATATAACATAATAAGTGATTAGGGTATGATGTTATCATATAAATCGCCCTTAACTTCGCTAAATTGTTTTCTCTTTTACATTTTCTATGCGTTTATTTGCATATAGTATCTGTAATGTCCAGTTGCCATCATTAAGTAAATTGTAAAAAATGTTAAGCAGTAAAAAGTAAACAATGCAATACGATAAAAAAAATTCACGAGTTGATTTTAAAACCAAATCCAATTCCCAAAGATGTCTTTTGGTATTATTTGGTATATCAAAAATCATACTGATGTTTAATTTTTAGTTTAATTTATAAACAAAATCTTATGTGATCTAAATTTTGGTATAATTCAAGTAACGATAACATCCAGAATTATCAATAAACTATTCCAAAAAAAAAGAAATGTGTCACGCCAGGCGAGCGAAGCGTGCCACACTTCCTCTCTCCCCACAAACCCTTGTAAAAAAAACCCCAAATCTGGCGGCGAGCAGTTGTAAAGCTAGGGCTGCGCACGTAGGACGGTGTCGAATGGGGCGAGCCGCGCGTCGTTGAGAGATGTTGTTGGCAGCCCCGGCCTGTGCTGGAGACCGAGGTGTAGTGGCGGGCGCGGCGGCTGGCGGCGCGCTGCGTGCGACGGACGCTCACGGTACACACCCCTAGCGCGTAGCTCCCGCGCCTCCCGCGCACCCCGCGCATCCCGCCCCGCCCAGGCACGACCACACTAGTCGCGGACAAACCATTTCATTTTTTTGGCCGAAGGCCTTGTAGCCAATGCCAAAATAAGTAAAAAAATATGACAACTAATCGCGCGGTAAATTGACTGTCATTGAGATAATTTAAAGCGTAACGCGGTTTCGATAAGTTTGAAACAATAAAATATTAAAATTTTTATATCATTGTTTGTATTGTGTAGTTTAGTTTTTTTTTTTTTTTTTAATTTAAA